CGTCGCCCCTCTCCTCGCGGGCGGGGGCGTCGACGTGCTCGTCTGCAACGCGGGCGCGACTTGCCGCGACGAGCAGAAGACGCGCGAGGGCGCCGGCGCGACGTTCGCCGTGTGCGCGCTGGGGCACCACCTGCTCGTGCACCTGCTGCGGCCGCGCCGGCTGGTGTGGGTGTCGGGGGACATTTACGCCCTCGCCAGCGGCAACGTCGACGCGTGCGCGGACGGCGCGGGCGAGCACGCCTACTTCCAGGCGTGCCTGGGCCGCATGCTGCTGGCGAGGGAGTGGAAGCGCCGCGCGGCGGCGTGGGCGTGCCCGATGGAGGTCGTAGCCGTGCACCCGGGAGTTATCGATTCCGAGTTCAGTAAGACGAGCGGGGTGGTGAAAAGGCTCGCGGGCATGGTGCTGATCACGCCCGAGCAAGGGGCGCAGGCGAGCATCCTGGCGGCCAGCGCAGCGTCGGCGGAGCTGCACCAGGAGCGGGCGCTGCCGTACTACCACAACAAGCATGGCTGGCTGGAGCTGGCGGGCGACGACCTCGCGATGGACGAGGAGGGCGCCGCGCGGCTGTTCGCGCAGTGCAACCAACTGTGCGGGATGGACGGCGGGCGGGAGAGGGATGGGGACAGGGTGGATTGAATGAGCGTGTCACCGCGTCCCGCGCAGTCCTGGGAGTGAACCTATTGCGCGGGATAGCAGGTGGCATGCGGAGCTGCGCTCCCTGCTGTCCGCCCTCGTGGTTGAGACAGTCAGCCATGCGACTATTGCGACTGGGCTGCAGCTCGACCGTTGTAGAGGGCGGCGTTACTTGGAAGGGATGCGGCAAGCACCCCGGTGCTCGGCGCCGCGATCGTCGCGTGCGATAGCAGGCGGCGGGGGCGCGCGCGATGAGGCCGGGGACTAGGCGAGGGAGGTTATTGTAAGCTAATGGTGGTGAAGGTTGGGGAGTGTAGGTGAAGATCGGTGAGAAGGCGAAGAGGCACATGTGGTATATTTATAGTGTTCGCAATGCGGCGAAGATTGTGGACGTCGACGGCGACGGCTTGCAGGGTCAGCTGAGCAGAGATGCAGCGTGCAGTATCACGTGCGCTTTTTTTTGGAAAAATTATCGACACTGCACAGTACAGTGCCTTGATCCCCTTTAACATTTGATCAGAACATTGGTGGAGCTGAAGGCACAGTTTCCAACAGCCGACACGCTTCCACTGCGGTCGGTCTCGCCTCCGGATCCTTCACCCACAGCCGCGAGATCAAGTCCTGCACTTCCTCCGCGACACCCTCTGGTGGGAACCCGGGCCGCTCGCCCCTTCCAATAACCGCTGCGACAACCTGCGCAGGGCGCAAACCCTCAAACGGGCGATTCCCCGACGCCATCTCCCACAGCAGCACGCCAACACTGTACATATCTGCCATGCAGAGCCGCCGGAACGTCTCTTCCTTCCCGACGCCCGTATCGCGGTCCTCGTCGAGCAGCTCGGGCGCCATGTACCCGACGTAGTCCGCGGGGAACTCGCGCCGCACGTCCGCGCCGCACTCGGCCTTGCAGACCGTCCCGCCCACCTCGAACAGCTTGATGCGCTGCCGCGCCGCCCAGTCCTCGCGCAGCGGCAGCGCCAGCCCGATCGCGTCGCCGGACAGCGCCCACCCGCCGCTCGTGTCCGACTCGTGCAGGAACCGTGTCGCGCGCACGATTTGCAGCGACAGCGCCAGCACCGTCGCGCCCGTCAGCCGCTGCTTGCGCCGCCGCACCAGGGAAAGGTTCGCCCCGAGCGTGCCCCCCGACGGCACCTCCGTCACCACCACCGTCCGCTTGTCCGCCCCCTGCGTCCGCGACAGCCCGTATAGCTGCACCATGTGCGGCCCGCGCAGCCGCTTGAGGCACCGGATGTGCTGCTGCGACTCGTTCAGCCGCCTCTCGCTCGCGTCCACGAGCGCCCCCTCCGTGCCTGCCAGCGGCAGTCGGATTGCTACCGACTCCCCGTCCATCGTCCCCGTGTACACTACGCAGTTGTGCCGCCGCATGTACGCGAGCTCGGGTATCTCCGTCCACGAGAGCCGCTTGAGCTCGATGTAATCCTGCCCAAACTCGTCTCTTGCGTCGCGGGTTCCCCCTGCAGTAGCCCGTGCACCACCAGGCGTGGATGCGCCCCCGCTTGTCGCGGCTGCCAGTACGCGGAGCAACTCGTAGTTGGGCACTACGTCCACCAGCGGCGTACGGCACTCTGGGCAACATGGCGAGCGGTCCGTCTCCCACATCGTATCGTTGCAGACGCTGCACGCAAACGTATGCCCGCACGCGCCCGAGCATATCGGCTTCCTCATCTCGCCGTCGTACGCGTTGGTGCAAATAGGGCACGCCAGTGTCACGACGTTGCTCGGGCAGAAAATCAGCCGCCGGTCCGCGCGCTGCCCCTTGACCACCACGTCTACCGGCCGGATTTCAAACGTCCCATCCGCGTTCTCATCCTCGCGACCCATCCCCTCCCCGCCCTCCCGCCGCGACACAAGCACGGGCCGCCCCGGGATGCCGAGCACCCTGACGGTGCCGTCCGCGCTGCCGGACGCGACGTGCTTCCCGTCCGGCGCGATCGCCAGCTTGTACACGGCCTTGTGATGCGCGTCGTGTACGGCGACCGGCTCCTTCGCGCCCTGCCCGCCCTCGGCGATGCGCCACACCCTGACGACGCCCTCCGCGCCGCCGGTGGCCAGCACGCCGTCCGCACCCAAGGCGACGGCGTGCGCCTTGCCCCTCTTGCGCTTGTGCGGGGCCTCCGCGACGACGCTGGCGACGCGGCGCAGGCGGCCGCCCTCGGCGCTCCACACGCAGGCGACGCCGTCCCAGCCGGCGGACGCGAAGGCGTCTGCGGCGGGGGAGAAGGCGAGCGCGGAGACGAAGCCGGCGTGCGCGCGCGCGAGCAGCGGGGCGGCGGTCTCGTGCGGGCGGATGCGCCACAGGCGGACGTGGCCCGCGGTGTCGCCGAGGAGGAGCGCGTCGCCGTCCGCGGAGAAGGCGGCGGAGAAGACGACCGGGCCGGGCAACGGGAGAGAGGCGACGGAGGCGCCGGCGTAGGTCAGGACGCGCACCACGCCGCGCGAGTGCACGGCGAAGCGGCCGCCGGGCGGCGCGCCGGGCGCAGAGGGCGGCAGGCGCGCGAGCGGGGGCGAGAGCGCGATGACGACGGCATCGGTGCGCGCGGAGGCATGGAGGGGGAGGAGACTTGGCAAGTGAGGGTGGACAAAGCGGACGAGGGGGGCCGTGGAGGAGGCGACAGCGAGGACAGTCGGGCCGCAGGACAGGTGCGAGGAGGGCGGAAGGGAGAGGGGGGGGAGCAGGGTGGTGCCGGTCCAGATACGCAGGTCGGAGGTGGAGGTGAGGAAGGCGAGGAAGGAGCCGCAGGGGGAGAAAGTGAGTGCGGTTACGGCGGATGAGGGGCTCATCGAGGGGATGGGGGGTGCAGACGGAGTTGACGATGAGGGTGAGAAGGTTGGTTCGACTCTGTCAAGCGAAGAGAACACTTTGATCGAGAACACGTTGATCGCGACCCACGTGTGGATTCACGTAAATCGGGATCGGCTGGCAACGGAATGCCACGTGTCGTACGAGGCGAAGCCCTAAATCCAGAAAATTTTCTATTGCAGCGTCCGCGACGTCGTCCCGTGCCGCAACCACACCGATATTGTTCCCGCATCCCTTCGTTACTAGCTCTCCCAACCTCGCAACGCCCCCGACAACAACCTTCATTCACCTCTCCATTCTCTTCCACCCCCACCCTCTCTCTCATCATGCCTTCCTCAGTACGTCTGCCGCGACCCTCATGATTTATGAAAGCGCCGCCGCCTCGGTTGCACGCCTTGTCTAACGTGTTCTGCCTTTTTGTCGTGAATTCACCGTTTCTCACATGCGCGTAGAGCAAAAGATCCGGCAAAGTCGGCGGCAAATTCGTTATCGACTGTTCAGCCCCGTGCGATGACAAGATCATGGACGCTGGAGCATTTGTAGGTTGAACTTCTATCTATAATCTTTTTGTCATTCTCTATTCCGCATCCGTTCACCTCGCCTGCGCTCGTCGTCAATTGCACGCCGTGCATAAATATCCGCCTGAAGCGCGATCCGATCATCCCAATTGCTGCAGCCTGCATGGCGCCCGAGCCATGCGCATTGGAAGGAGTCGGGTTGGAGGGTGTGGGATGAAGCGGCGGGCGCAGGCGAGCTTGGACTGGACGCGATAAACAACTCCCGCAGAGTGCTAACCATGCGTCTCTGGTCTGTGGATTGTTGGGCAATAACTCCCTACAGGAAAAGTTTCTTCACGACCGCATCAAGGTGAACAACAAGACCGGGCAGCTCGGCGACGTGGTCAAGGTGTCGCGCGACAAGTCGCGCATCACGGTCGAGGCGACGCAGAAGTTCTCCAAACGCTATCTCAAGTACTTGACAAAGAAGTACTTGAAGAAGCAAAACCTCCGGGATTGGATGAGGGTCGTGGCGTCCGACAAGAACACATATGAGCTTCGCTACTTCAACATTAGTGAGGACCTCGATGAAGACGACTCGGATGAGGAATAAACTAAAAAGCGTTGTGTTTTGAGAAATGACTGTGTGTGTGTTTGGCACGTTGCCGGTAGCGCGTTGCCGGTTGCGCGCTGCCGTTTGTGTGTGTGTGTGTGTGTGTGTGTGTGTGTGTGTGTGTCGCGGGATGCGAGAAGCCATAGCGTTGGGATCTGGTCGGAAAATAAAAGAGAAAAACACGACTGAGGCCCGTTCAGAGCGTCGCTAAAATTTCCCCGAAATCCAACGCGTTCCTGTGGAGCGATAGGCCACTTGCACTCTTTGCGGGCCTCGCCTCCTCCCTTCCCCCCCTCCCCCACCAGACTCCCTTATCCCACACCTCCAACCTCCGGCCCCCATCTCAACAACTCCTTCTGCCTTCTCCGACCATCCGTCCCGCCCCTACCGCTCCACAACTACCCCCGTGTTCAAATCCATAAATTCTACTCTGCTGTCATCCCTTCCGACCGCCCTCGTGGAAGAGCCGCCGCCTCTGCCCCCACCCAGCTTGCCTGTGTGCACACATTGGATTTTCCGTTTCCCACCTTCTTTTTCCGCACAGCATCTCCACTACTCTTCCGACTCTCACAAATTGCATTCGAACAGTCACCGTTTCACCCGCCATCGCCATTCTCATCACACAGCGCTCACTGCCCCGCTCGAGCATGATCTGGAGAGAATAGTCGTTGCGTCGTCGATTGTTTATTCCACCTCAAATCTCCCGGCCACCTCCGCTGGCCGCCGAGAGTCGGGTGTTCATGAGCAACCTATATCACAACTATCGCGGTGACAGCGCTAGCCAACGCCCTGCCGCTTCCCCACCACCGCACTCGCACCTGCCACCAAGCAGCGACCCAAACTCAAGTTTTTCCGCAAATCTTGTAAATACTGCCTTCCCCGGCGTACCATCATCGCGCCCCTCCAACCATATCGCCATGAACGGTACACGAACGGCTCCGCTCGGTCCGCGCCGTTCGCCACCATATGAAGACTCGCTTTTTCAGATGATGGGGAAAGGCTTCGCAGATAAGTCCGCCCGATCCGCTCAGCCGAATTCTTCTACCCAATCCCTGCCGCCCTCCCACGCCGCCACACTGGATCAATACTCTAAAATCCGCTCCGCATCATCCAACGTCTTCGACCCGAGTGAATTTCCATCACTAGGCGGCGGCCTCGGAGGCCCTGGTCCAATGTCGCTCAACCCCGCCGCATTGTTAACCAGTTCAACACCGCTGGATGTACCAGCACTCACCTCGGTTGGAATGCCTGGACCATCAGTCAATGGCTTGGGTCCCTTTACGGACATGTACAACATTGCGGGCTATGGCGACGTACGAGCAAAGGCAGTTGATGCAGTGACGGGCACGGCCGGATCATCAGAATTTAGTATGCAAAGCGAAGACTTTCCTGCATTGGGTGGAAAACCAGGTCCGGGCGGCATGCGACCGCCAAGCATGATGAGCACCGCACCAAACGGTCCAACTCTACTACCGTCTATGGCACGAGCGCACCCAGCAGCCCCAGATGCTATTCGACAAGGGCACAACGACATGGCAGAGTTGACCGGAGTAGACATCAGGACAAAAGGGATACACGGTCTGAGCGATGCGGGCATACCGAACGGTGACGCTGTTCCAGTAGCAACTTTGCAAACAACTAATGCAGGCTCAAAACCGGAACCAGAAGCTCCGCTCGTTTCGGATAGTATTGGAATCGGTGCAGACGGTACAAAGGCGGCTGCGTCACCAAAAGTCCTCGCTGCCGATCAATACGGAATGAAAGGTTTACTTAAATTTGTTGGCTCGCGTGCAGAAGGAACAGACATGAACATGCTTTCCGTCGGAGTTGACCTAACTCTGTTGGGGCTTGATTTAACGTCTCCAGGACCGTTGTACAAGTCTTTTTCAAGTCCATGGGAGGGGGGCCAAGTCGGTACTCGAGGCAGTGACAAGACTGGGGTACCGCAGAGAAACGAAGAACCAGAGTTCAAACTGCCGACCTGCTACTACATGCAACCACCAGCATTGAAAAATAGTCATTTCGCCAAGTTTCAATTGGGGACGGTTTTTTATGTCTTCTACAATATGCCCAGAGATATCCTTCAAGTTCTTGCGGCGATTGAACTGTACAATAGGAAGTGGATGTATCACAAAGACCTCAAGCTGTGGTTTACGAACGAGCCAGATGTATTGGAAAGCTACGACCGTGCCGCATACGTCTATTTCGACATCAAATCATGGGGAGAACGACCGTTCCATGACGCCAACCAATCATTCATACAAGGATTGATGACTGAGGACGAAGTTAGATCGGTTCCTTTACCAGGGTTGCGGCCAACTGCGTCGTGAATGTGCCGAAGCGGGGTGCTTGTTGGCCATTTGCATTGCAGGCGGGAAGAGAGCTGTTTGTGGGCCAGTTGTGGATATTCGATGAGGCGGGATTAAAACAGGAACCTCCTTAAATATTGTCTATGGCTCTCTTCGTCAGTTGAGGTCTTTGGATGGAGAACGCCTGCAAGTGCGTGATCGGAAACCCCTTTGTATATTTGCACGTAGTCGGATGTGTAGTTTCCCGACTTGAAGGGTTTCAGAGACGCAGAACCAGGGAACGCCCTAGTAGTGAAATTAGGAATACTGCTGCAGCGCTCTACGAACGCCTGTCACGTTGGTGCAAGGTAATAAAGCAGAACCACCCCCTCCCTATCTCCAACAAGTACCAGCTATTTGCAGAGCTTTCTCGTTGACCTCATGACTTGCTCCGGTTCTACGAATGTGAATCAAAACTAGCCTGATGGAGTCCGCACCCTCGCCACTCGCTGCCGTGAAGGTAATGTTTTAGCGCAGCATGCTTTAGGGCCAGCCGCTCACGAACAGCGTCAGAAAGTCAGCAATCTACACACTGCACGTTACTCGCTTAGAACTGGTGAAGGCCCCTCACCTTCTCAGACACCAGTGCACGAGGCCTGGGAGTCACGACAAGCTTGCAATGTTAATTGCTTAGTTGGATGGGTTTGCCCTTCTTACGGGCGCGCACATTAGAAACGATATTCGACTAGGTAATTCCGGTCCCTGTAGTTGGTGTCTAGAGAAGGGATGCTACAGAAGGGATGCTACTTCTTCACTGGGCATGCGAGACGTAGCAAATTGGTGACTAACCGTGTGTGAGCAATACTGGGAGACCACCAGAAAGAGTCCATTGATGGACTGTGCCGAGAGGGTAGGGCCATTGATTGCCTTGGCGGGCAACGTGTGAAATGGAGAAACAAAACCGGCCATTGCCGGGAAACAAGCCAGGGCCAGGGTACGGTAAGATCAGATCTCGTGGATTTGTCCCGTTATACAGTATCTTGCTCTGCAAGAAAACCTAGAAGCAGGCATTGAGAACAATAAATATGTGTCTCAGATACAGTGTTTGTGGTAGACTCTCAATCTTTCAGTATGTTTAGAAGTATGTGCGTCAGAGACGCACAGTCAGTCTTTTGGTTGGAAAACCGGCAACTGAGTAAAAAGTGTACCAATGCGGGATATGCAAGCAATCAACAATTGTATCAGTTTACTGGCAGCAGTACGAATCTGAAAACGAGCTCATCAGCGCTCAAAAACCGTCCGCCGAATCAACACCAAAAAGCTCCCCAGAGTCCGCTGCCCCGCCCCACCGCCTACGTTTCGTTCCACAGCCCGCTTCTGGCGCTTTCTGTATGCCGACTGCGCACGTTTTCGCTTCGATATGTAAGTTTCCGCTATGTCATGCAGGCGTTTCAATTAGCGCTCTTACGTCTTACCATCAGCGTCCCTGAGGGGATACCATTTGACATGAATGTTAGTTAAAGCAACGGTCATTCTAATGATACGATCATACCCCCCTTCTGCCCACCTATACTTGTTGGCGACGACAGCCCAAAGGGTACCCTGCCGACCGAAAAAATTCTCAACAATTATTCTGTCTGCTGCCAATGCTGTATTTTCCTGTTTTTCAGACCCAGAGAGCCCCCCCCCCCCCTACAAAGTATCTTCTTAGGGATAATTGCAGGTACTTCTGATCCCATGCCTACATATCCCTTGTCCTAAAGAACTCCCCATCGATTAGGATACGATTCAGATCGCCGCCCAATTTCCGTACTTGCCAACTCCTCTCCCTATTTCTCTAAAGCATCGCCATGAAAATGAAGCATTTCCCTCATAATTTCGATATCGGAGACCGAGCCGGGATAGTGGTTGCTTATTGATATTGCCTGGCCGTTGGGGAGCACAGAGGCTTCTACTTTAAATCCGTAGAGTTTGTGCTTCCCAGAAAAAAAGTTCTTCACTTCCTTGAGGGAACCTCCTGGCTTGTAAATTTGCTGAAAAGTTACGTCCGTGGCGTATCGACACATTTTAAAAGTTTTAAATGTAGTTTTGTCCGCCAGAAGTCGTTGCATATCAAAATTTTCTGCGTACGATTCCACAAAGCGTGTATACAGAAAACCGGAGGTAATCGCTATCATACTCTTCACCCTTTTTCAAATGTTGCTGTTTTCATCTCGAAGAGATATGCCATGAGATCCCACTTTGAGCCATGTTTAGGTTCACATACCGACATAAAAAATAAATCCTTCGCCTTGATGGGGCTCTTGCTGCCCCTTCCCGTATTGTAGCGTGACGAGACGTGTTCTTGTACTTGATTCCATACCCCGTTAAATTCACTCACTGTAAAGTTTATCATATTCATCAATGCCCGATCTCCATCTTCCTTGATAAACTCATCCATTTTCGGGGACTCACTTTCATCAGTTTGATCGTCATCAGACAGTTGAGTTGCGTCGTCGTAGCGCTCAAGCTCCTCCTGACGCAAGGCAGCTTGCTCCTCCAACAATTAGAGTGCTGCGGCGGGTGTGGGGGCAGAGCGTGAGGGCATGGTGACTGAGCTTGTGTTGAGCGCTACGTCGAGCTCAATAGACAGGTGTAGTGTCGGGTAATAACAGGGTTTTGGCGGCCGTTAGGGAGTTTGGAGGAGATGCCGTGAGGAAATGTGGAGGAGAGACAGAGGGTGAGGTATGGACGGGTGTTGGCGGGGAGATGTGTAAGAGAAGCAGAGGGTGAGATGAGGAGGGGCGTTAGGCAGACGTGGAAGTGAGACGGCAGGTGAGGTGTGGAAGGGCGAGGTGTAGACGGGTGTCAGTGGGGAGATGTGGAAGAGAGGCAGAGGGTGAGGTGTACGGGAGGGGCGTTGGGGAGACGCAGAAGAGAAGTAAAGGGTAAGGTGGTGAGGAGCGGTGATGGGGAATGCGGGATAGGACGGCGGGGAAGTGCTAAGGAGGGACGTAGGTGGGGGAAGGAGCGTCTTTTTATGCCCGATGAACGATATCAGCGCAGAGTAGTGTGGTAGGAGTTGGGTTCTTTCCGAAGAGGAGAGCCGTTTGACTGGAAATGTGGTTGTCCGGTGCACATTGGGGCTTCAGGCAGATTCTATTATCTTCCGTGGGTCAGAGGGAGCTTGATGCGCGAGAGGGTGTTTGATGCGCGAGAGGGTGTTTGATGCGCGAGAGGGTGTTTTTCGGAGAAGATTTGATAGTCTTCGATCATGAACGGTCTTCTCAGAATTGCGCATCCAACACACAGTTAGCATGGTGGTCTCAAAAGAGCTTTTTAGGTTGCAAAAATTTTAATCTAGTACTTGTTACTCATACAGTACAGTTCTACTGAACAAACACACAGTTTAATGTGTCGTTTCGGAATGGGTCAATGTTCTCCGGAGAGAACAAGGTATTCAACGTATTGCCGTCTAACTGCTCCCTCCGCCTAATGATTTGAAATGATGGCGAAGACGAGGACGTCGTCATCCCCCGTTTCCCTCCGTCGCCGCACCCGCTGCAAGCCAATGTAGTGGGCCCATGCGTGGCTGCGTACGGCGCCAACAACTCGAGTGCGTTCAGCTTCGAGAATTCGCGCGCGACATCGCAGTCGCCTTCGCGCGCAACACCGCATCCGCATTCGCCTTCGCGCGCGACCCCGCCGTCGCCCTTGCGAGCGACACTGTCCTCGCCTTCGCGCCCTGCTCCACCCGCTCAGGCCTCCTCTGCCCAAGTCCTTCCGCTCTCGCAACCATGGGTGACCGTTGCAGCAGCTCAACCCCGTCGTACTCCTCGCTCTTTTCCCCCGATAATTCCTGCAAACGCGGCGAGCGCCGCGCTACCTTCCACTCGCTTCGTTGACCAGGCCTCAGCTTCCACTCGTTTCGTTCCCCTGCCCTCAGATTCCACTGCATCTTTCATTTCTCCTTTCGTCGCGGCTCGCTCTCTCCAGCTTCCACATGTCCAGGCCCGCTCGGGAGATATCGTACTCACTCTCGCCGCTGCCCGTGCGGCACTTGCTGCCCCTACTTCAGTCTCGCATGCCACACTCGCTGAAGCCCACGCTCTCGTCCGCACCGGAGAGCCTGTGGCTCCGCCCCCCGCCGTCACCGCCTACAGTCTTGCCCCGGACGCCAACTTCGCTGCATTCCCTTCCTTTGCTGCTGCCCAGTCCGCCCAACGTCGAAGCGTCCACCTCGCTGGCGCCGTTCTTCCTCCCCACGTCATAGTCCCCGGAGTTGGCCGCTGGATATACGTCTACTTCCTCGCGTCTCAAACTGATCTCTTCGTCCGCATCCTCGCCCACCTCCGTCTCATCTACGAAGACCTCGCCATCCTGCCCCCGTGCCTCCCACCGCTTCCGCTCTCGACTCTTTCGCCGCCGCCGGAGTTGTCTGCCGCCTACGCCGCCAGGCGCTCCGTCTCGTCAACCGCCGTGCCGCTACCCGTCCGTCAAGCTCTGGCCTTCTCGCTTCAGGCTCACGCCCGCGAGATCACCCCTCGCCAGTCAACCCGCCATAATCCACCCGGACCCTCTACTCGCGTGGCTTGATCCGCTCTTTACCGCCCTGCGTCCACCCTTCCTTCTCCGTGGCACGCCTCTGCCCCTGTTGTGGCGATTGCCGCCCCTCAAGTCCCCGTCGAGGCCCCTACTCGGGCTCCCACTGCCGCCTCGACTTCCGCTCCGCCCACTTCGCCTGCTCGTCCTCTTGCGGCTCGGCCTCCTGTTCCGCCCTTTCCGGTCCTTGTTCCCAACGTACCCACCCGTGATGCCGCTGCCACGGTCGCTGGCGCCGACCATGCTACGGCGCATGCGCCCTTAGCTATTTCCCCGCTCCCCCTTATCTCCTTCCGCCTCCCCCTCCCTCCCCTCTTGCCTCGTCCGACCGCCCTACACTTCCCCCCTCCCCTTATGAAGCGCTTCCCCCCTCCCCCGCCTGGCCGCCGCTACCTGACCACGCCGGCCCCTCAGCCGCCCCCAATGCCCTGCGCAAACGCCTCTCCATCTCCGCCGCTCTCCCCTCGGCCCGCCGTTTTCGCAGTCCCTCCTTCTCTTCTGTCGCGGTTCCGCTCCCGCACCCTTCGTCATCACAGTGAGTCAACAGTCCCTCTCATCCTCTGCTACGCCCTCGTCCCAGGTACCCCCCTCGCTCACAGCCCGCCTTCATCATCCTCTTCCTCCTCTCCCCTTCCTTCAGTTGAAGAAATTCTCCGCTCCCCATTCCGCCCCTCTGACATCTTCAACTCTATCCCTGGGCATTGCTTGCACGCCACGGTGCTGCTCCTCATTTGCCTTATCAGAAAAGCCTCAGCTCGCCTCTCCCCCCTTGACATGCACGCTGCATGTCTCCGCCTCCACCTCTTCCCGACCGC